AAGTCTACGGTTTAGTATTGGATCAAACTTATTTCCAAAGTAATGGACAAGGTTATTGTCATGGATACTTTGAGGAGTTTCAAAATATTGTTTTAATTATTAAAAATTGATTGGGTTTAATTATTTTTGGATGAAATCGACTTATAGAATTAAATATTTTGAAATACATTTACTCGTCTTCCCTGCTCCTTTAATAGTACAAATCGATGTCTTAATATTTTAACGTCCATACGAAATACGATACTAGTATTTCACACTATTCTACACGGCGTAAATATTGCTTTAATGGTTGTAAACCTAACTCTTGTAATATAATGCAGGCTCAAGACCAAAAAAGATAATATTGAAGTACCAAACATTTTCGACAAATGTGAATTTCGGGTTAGCTAGTCTCACCATTCTACTGTGGTATCAATCACTAACCTTACTAGTGAGTTTTACATTCAATCTCTTTTTGCTTATGTACACGAACACCAGACACGTACAAATGGAAGAGATATTTAAAGGAAATCATCTATTGCAAGATTATATAGAAAAATAGAGAAACTAACTTTGCTTTTTCGTAAAAAATAATTACCCATTTTAGTGATAAGGAAAAGTTACACGCGGAATGAATAATTTACCTTATTAACAATTTTAACTAATAAAATTTATTTATTTTAAACTTGTCAGTTATAAGCCAACTTCCATAAAAGTAAAACATTTTAAGCTGGAATAAACAAAGACGACTTATAAAACACATTTCTTAAAGCTCTGCTTTGATTTTTAATAACAAAAAATTAAATTGAATATAACAAAAAACTATCTCAAGCTAAATTATCATTGATCACCTCATTATATGATAAAAAAAAAAAAAGCCTCTTTTTTTCTTTTTGCTTTTTGTAATTCACATATAAATCGATACTTTTCGAGTTATGGTATATATTTGTCTTATTTGTAAGTATCCCAATCTTACCTCGGGAAAAAACATAAAGACTCTGCCACGATAGGATAAAGCAAATTCTCCCATTAAAAAATAATAATAAAAATGCAAAGACAATTTGGAAGGGCAACATGAACAAACTTGAATCCACGAGTGCTCTAGCAAGGCGTTATTAATCCAAAAGAGTCGAACCTTGAATTTTCTTTAAGCATCTTAAAATTGCACCACCTCCTCTTATTATAATGTGCTCTTTTAGATAGTCGTATTCATGCTTATTTGGCACTGGTGAGCTCCTTCCCTATCGTGTAACAAATTTTATTACAACATGTTGAATATGTTGAACGTTATTGGATTAAGAATTAAGGCACCATTTGATTCAACAAAATTTTCTCTAGAAAATGGAATTTGGATTCCAACTTCCACAAAAAGGGTGTTTGATAGCTTATATTTACCATGGAATTGAATTTCTTAGATTTCTTGGAAATTGCACTTTTTCTTGTTTTCAAGGAATTTGAATTCTTACCAATATGGTGAGAATTCAAATTCTAGTCTACTGTAGTATTTTATTTTTATTTTTCATTTTTTTATTTTTTATTTTTGCAATGAAAACAAATTTTAAGAATTATTGTAAAAAAATATTTCCCTTTAATTGACAATTTTCATGTAAAATAAAGTAAAACGAACACCAAAAGATAGATGAAATTCTTGAATTTTTTGTTTTTTTGTTGGCAATGGAAACAAATTTCATTCCCATACCAATAAAATCTATCCCTTTAATTGAAAATTTTCATGTTAAACAAAGTCAAACGAATACCAAAAATACTTTTATTTCAATATTTTTCACGTGAAAAATTATGCCAATCAAATATAATAATTTACAATTCTCAAGAAAACAATTTCTAGGCAATTTAATTTTCTGAAATTCGTTTTCAATTAAATTCAATTTCATCTTTGCAATCAAACAGACCCTAATATAATTGGCAATGAAACTGAAGATAGTACTCTCAAATTGGAGCACTAATCAAATTGTCTACCTGGAATTGTTAGGGGCCCACTAGTAGGAGCCCACAATACAACTCAGCCAGACAGTACGCCTAGTTGCGAGCTTAATGATATTGGCTAGCCCACGCCAGACAGCAGAGCCGCCAAACTGAACTCCAACAACAAGACACATCATTTCTTTATTTGGGGCCCACATTTCACGGCAGCCACCCTACATATCATATTGCAAAACCTCTAGTCCTCTCGGCTCAGTCAAGCTCCTCTTATTCTTAGTCGGCTTGATATGTATTTGGTGGGCTGTCACTCTCCTGATGGTATAAGCCCGGCCCGGTATCGTTGTGGGATCAGCAGTTTTTATCACAAATAAAGAATTGTAAACCAACCTCCCATAGGTATCCATCTGTGGTCATTGGACATAGAAAAAATACCTAAATTTCAATTCAGCCCTAATAATTTATTGGAAAATAGCTTAAAGCCATTTAGATAGATTTAAATAAATCAAACTGCCCATTGAGCTTTTTAACTCTGATATTATATTGAATTATAATATTTTATCTTTAAAAGTCAATCTTGTTAAAAATAAACTAAGTTAATCAAATTTAATAATTTCACTCTTGAATAAATATGAATGAGGACATTCTAAAGTAATTTAACTCATTAGAATTTTGACTTGGATTGAAATTTGCTCGACGTTTCTATTTTATTACAAATTAACTTACAAACTCTCGAAACATTAAAAAAGTAGATCAAATTAATCAATTATTCAAATTTTATCGATCTACATGTAAGTCATATTCTTTCCACATTAACTGATCCAGGTTTATTTGAATTAATTAAATTGTATTTTCATTTAAATTTGATTTTAATGTATATAATTCCAATTGAAATTAATCAACAACCTACAAAATTAATTTTAGCTTGACCACTTCAAAGTCTGGTAAAAATAATCAACCAAAACATCCATAAATGTTAGACAATAATAAATAAGAGTTTAACCTCTTTCTATTTAATACTATCTAACCGTGTTCAATATTTAAGCCCCGTTATAGATGGGATTCAATATTTAAGCCCCGTTATAGATGGGAGTGAAACTAGCTAGGGATGTTTCAACAGGCTCGAGCCCCGTTTTAGTCAGCTTAACTCTCATGTGTTAATGCATCTCTCTCTCTCTCTCTCTCTCTCTCTCTGTATAAAGATAGGGTAGGAAGACACACACTGATTTGTAATGATGACAGTCGGTGGTGGTGAAGAAACGTATAGGTTACGAGCAAGAAACTGGTACGTTGAATGATGTGGTGGAAAAATATAAAACGGTGAATTTGGTACCAAATTTTTATAGCTTTGGACCATACATTTATAGATTGTGAACCATGGTTGCATATTTTTCACAGAATTCCTCCTTCAATCTGCAGATATTTGAAGACTCATTTTCACCACAACTCTAATTGAGATCTTACTGATACGATGACTAATACATAACAATTATCTTGTTCGATATCAAATACATCTATATTTTATTATCGATTATCATTTTCGATTGATAACAAGTTTTAGTGAAGAGGGACTAGCGCATCATTCATAACAATCTGTTAAAGCTTTAATTGGTATAATTCTTTATCAAACTAATCTCGAATTAATTTACTTGTGACGTCAAATCAATGTAAGAATTTCCATCATTTAAATTGTGCGAGTGATTAGAAGTTTTTTAAAAACTAAATGTGCATTTAACTCTCCAAGATGGAGAATCATGGGGGTAATTATTGAGACAGTTAACAAACTAACCACTTCAATTAAATGAGATGAGACAAATATTAATTAATTACAATCATTAACATAACAAACCAGTTCTTTTCCACACTACAAGTCTTTCTTTATAATTACCATCATATTGTAAAACCATCTTACCAAAAATTAGCTTTTAGACATAAAGCAAGCTTATCTATTAAAAAGTTCGTGTATAACACAGCTCTTCACGTGCATATCAGATTCATTGTTGTTCTAAAATAACCTTTGCCATGCAAAAGTTTGTCATCAAGAATTACCTCCTTAAGCTTAAATACCATGTCTAATAATAGGACAAGGTTTTAACGCCCGATAAAATAATTTTCGATGATGAAAAAATTTGAACATAAACTTTATTTACTTCAATGTAATATTGAACCACATTTGAAAGTTTAAAAAGATAAAAGAAATGCGTAACCAATGTAATGAAATATTCATGAATCAAGTGTAACCGTGCGCAATGGGGTCCCAAATTTTCATTAGTAATGAACAAGAAATGGTAGGGACAAGAAACATGGTAGCGAATGGTTGGGCCACCTTACCCCATTTAGACAGATAGGTTTAGCTTTTGGCTTCAGACTGTTCTGCTAAGTCACCATTTAAAGGGGAAAAAAAAGTTAAGAATTATTTATTGTCCCTTTTTGGTCTCTTATGGTCTCTAAGACAGACCTTTTGCAGTTTGATGATTGGTCCATGGCGTGACATTCCCTTCAACCCAAAAAAGTAAATTAATTAATAAATATGTATTACTTTCAAATGAATTATTCCAAACATGTTAGACTGTTTGGCCTTTTTAGCGGAAGTGTTACATATTACCAAAGCATATAAATGTTTTGAATTAAAATCCCTTGAAATTCATGTATGACATGTACATTAGTTATTTAAACTTGTCGAGGAGAAAAAGAGCGAACGTTGGTTTGAATGAGAGTTATATTTTTCTCGTTTAACATCATTTATGATGTAAATTATCTTTTGGTTTAGAAAATTGTCAAATTTAGATTTAAAAAGAAAATGGTTTAAACTTGAACATCAATTAATGAACAAAAAATTTAACATTTTCCTTTCTTAGACTACTCATTTATTATGTATTAATCACACACTTCTCTCAATATCTAACATCTAAATTCAAATGAAAAGTGACCATTAAACAGAACATTCTGAGAGTAGATGTCTCTCTCAGTTGCGGGTGGTGGAGGTGGCAGTTGCCCACACGCTGCTCCTTCTCTTTCTATATCTATATATGTATCTGTATGTGTGCCTATTTTTCGCCACCTTTTTTCGCGCCCCAGAAACTTTCCCAACAATTCAGCCCACTGTTGATGGCGAGAGGCAATCAAATAAATCTGAGCTAGCTTACATGATCTATCATCATTAGGTTTTTTCTCTCTCTACTTTTACATTCTCTCTCTGAATCTTCTCTTCATTTGATTATCTTTATATATAATCCCGTTTGTTCTCCATTCTTCCATTACTCAGTTTGACAATCCAGGTTTTCTTTTCTCTCCTTCTCGGGATCCGATCCAGTTACGGACAAGAAGAAAACATTAGGGTTCCTAGCTGTTCTTGTTTTTGAGTACAAGAGCTGCTAGGGTTCAAGTCCCGAGAAGTATAAATTGTTCTTTCTATAATTGTGTTTGTCTTTTAGCTGTCTGAACTTGGCCTTCCTCTAGTTTTGAAGCATTATCGGAATATGTATCCCTCTCTCTAGTCCAAAATCTCCATTCTCGAAGAAAAAGTTCTTTCTTGCTCAGACGATTTGGTTCTGCCAAGAATTTTAGACGGCTTTTTGATCTCAGGTTCTTTCTCTCTCTGTGTGTGTGTGTGTGTGTATATATATATATATGAACTCCATTGAAGGGTGCTTCACAATAGAATTAGGATGCTCAATTTCTGCATCTTGATTGTTATAAGATGGAAGCTGATTTTTGCATTAGAAGCATGTTTCAACAGATCTTGACCTCAAGAACCTATATGTATAGATACACTCACACATACACATATATGTGTGTGTATGCGAGCGCTTCTACCATTGTACGCTAATCAACCACATTTGTTCTTTAAAGAGACCTAATGATCCACAATGAGTGGATCAGTGTTCATATATAGCATTTTCATTTGATTCTACAGTGATATAGCATATATGTCTTATTATTGTTTTTATAATGGTATTAATTAACATAATACCATATTAGCTTTCGAACGACGAATTATTTGAAGATCGCTGAATAATTCATGGTCACATATATCTATAAAAAATTCTGTTTTTGTAAGTTATTTACATATCACAGCCCTAAAGGCTGTGAAAAATTCCGTTCATTGGCTTTGAGACTAATGATTCTTGAAGCAAGAGGCCTTTTTCATTTTAAAAGAAAAAATAAAAAAAGATTATATCAGTTAGTAAATCTTAAAGCAAGAGGCCTTTGCAATTGATCCTAGGTTTAATCACATTACATGATGATTCACATCCAATTTTTCTTGTACATTTTGTTCTCTTACCTTTATGATATTAGTTATTTCTGTAGCACAAGCCTACCAAATTTTTTTGACACGTTAATGAGACCATTGGATCTATGAACTTGTGAGCTAAATCGATGAAATTTCAGATATTCTATACAATTAAATTTTATGACCAGATGATTGACAAATGTTTATATGCCTAATTTCATTACTTTTTTACGTTAGTGTGTAATTTAACATATAGAGCATAGCTATGCAGTTGATTCCTATCAAATTTAAGCTTTTGGAAACATAGTTTCAACTGAAAAACTAACATTGTTTTAATTAATACAATGAATGTTTGTTCGACATCCTATCTAGTAAAGTGTACCAACCGTGTTGTAAAAAGTGAAAATGCTTTACAATTTTGATGATATTCCATGTCAAATGGTTTCCCAAAATTATATTGAGTGCTGTCCTGAAGACTTGGTTTCTTTATACTTTGTCCCTTCATGTTTGGTACATAGAAATATATTATAGGAAAACACTTTGAGGAGATACCATCCTTTTGATGTTGCAATTTTAGTAGGTATGTGATATATATGTTGTCCACCACAAAAAGTTGTTGCTAACTAGGTTGCAATTATTAGGATTTGATGCTTCATTACAATTAAAACATGTTTTAGACTGAATTAAGATTCTATCTTTCTTCTTCCTTTTTTCCTCATTATTTGAAATGAACGAGTATCGCATCAAATTTATCTTTCTTATTTGTATAAACGACATCTCATGTGCAGCAATAAATGATAAATAATGACAATTAATCCTGCATGTGTTTTTGTTCATAGTAAAAAAATATTTATTAATATGATAAGAAGAACGTCATATTTTCACTTAGTTTATATGATGGTTTGCTAATTTTATAAAATAATATGTACACTGAGCTTGTTTATATATATTGAAATTGTGTTGACTACGAATTGCAGGTTTCAGATTTGACTCTGGACACTATGAATACTTTTTCACATGTTCCCCCTGGTTTCCGATTCCACCCGACTGATGAAGAACTTGTCGATTATTACCTTAGGAGAAAGGTTACTTCAAGACGGATTGACTTCGATGTTATCAAAGATGTTGATCTGTACAAAATCGAGCCTTGGGATCTTCAAGGTAGATCGAAGATAAAACATAAATAAATATATGCTCTCTTTTATTGGCTTAAACTTCTGGAGAAGCAGTTCTACTTTGTCTTGAATTTTTTTTAAAATGAGTTATGGTTCAAAAACGCATAGAAATTCATGGTAACATCACGATTCTTATTACATTTTTGTTCTTCTTACAGAGCTATGCAGAATAGGAACAGAAGAGCAAAATGACTGGTACTTCTTTAGCCACAAAGACAAGAAATATCCAACTGGAACACGCACAAATAGGGCAACAGCAGCAGGATTTTGGAAAGCAACTGGAAGGGACAAGGCCATTTACTCAAAGCACGACCTAATTGGCATGAGGAAAACCTTGGTGTTTTATAAAGGTAGAGCCCCAAATGGTCAAAAATCAGATTGGATTATGCATGAATATCGCCTCGAAACAGATGAAAATGGGACTCCACAGGCAAGTATATACATATATTTTTCTGTATGTTATATAACGTTATTCGGTTTAGGATGAAATAAATTTATCTCCTTCAAAGTAATATTAGAGTAGGCAAAGGCCTAAGATTCAAGTAATCCTACTGCCAGCCCTTATGAAAATTGTGCATGTATCTAATTTTTGATGGAAAACTGAATCTTGCATGCATGTGAAGGATTGTGTGAATTACGAAATATAAGTAAGTAAATTTTTATCGTATCTAATAGTTTAAACTTTTAGATACCGTTCTTCAACAAACACTACTACCCCGGCCTCGGCAATTTTCTTAATCATTGCATGGAAAAGACTTCTTAATCTATGGAAGCATTACCATATTTATCGACATTAGCACATTCAACTTAGCTTCGTTTGAGTTATATTAGTATATGTGTTTAATTGATTGTATTTATTACCAAGTTGTTGTAAAAAGAAAAAAAAAATTGGAAAAGAAAAAATATAGATGTGAAAGAATAATTTGAATATTGCACAGGAAGAAGGTTGGGTTGTCTGCAGAGTGTTCAAGAAGAGAATAGCCAGCATGCATAAAGTCAGTGAGCATGACTCCCCAATTTGGTATGACGATCAAGTTTCATTCATGCCGGAAATTGACTCGCCGAAGCAGCAGAATCTGAATTACCACTATCCTTATAATACTTGCAAGAAGGAGCTTGATTTGCAGTATCAAATGCCACCTGATCAGCACTTTCTTCATCAGCTTCCACTTCTTGAGAGTCCGAAAATGGTGCAGCCACCTACCAGCATGAGTTGCAGCTCAATTTCTCCCTTTGGCGACCTTCACATAAACAATTTGTCAAACACCTTGCAATCATCAATCCAAAGCCATGAGCAGCATAACTTTCACTCAGTTTACGGAAACAGTACTGAACAGCCTGCCGGAGATCAAGTGACAGATTGGCGTGTACTTGACAAGTTCGTCGCATCCCAACTCAGCCACGAAGAGGTTGTTTCTAAGGAAAATCACTATTCCAATCCAGCCGAAGCCGCCTTCCATGGAGGCACCGATGAATCCAATCTGATGGTGATCACACACTTGAACAAGCAAGAAACAGCACCAGAAAATAATGCCTCAACCTCATCCTCAAGTTGTCAAGTTGATCTGTGGAAATAATCCAATAAAACCAGTCTGCAACCAGTATGAAAGGGTAAACATCATTAATTTGTCCAGTTTCTTGTAAATAATAAACCTAAAATTATAGTATAACCTAACTATTGAACCTCGGACTACCCACATAGGATTAAGTTAAGGGACTGTTTGGTAAGCAGGGCTTGATAGAAGAGCGGGCAACATTTTAACTTCTTTTTCTTCTTTTAATCCCGTCCGCTTCTATCGAGCTCAACATATATAGTATATACTAAACGTGCCATACGAGTACAAAGTATGTAGCCAAGATGTCATTCTTGTAAGATAAAGGCTGTAATTTGCTGCATCAGTTGGAAATGCAGCATTGCCAATATGTTTTCATCTGAAAACTACAGACTCTTCATGTTACCTATCTGTGGATATTTGAAGATCTGTTCAATTGTTTGTACTGATAAAGTACTAAAATTACAATATATATGCATTTTGTTTGTAAAAATAATCCAGAATTGTTTTTATAATCATGATTTTTTATGTTGCACGTACCCAAAAAAAAAAAAAAAGCATTTTTGGATTCAAGAATCTCCTTATTTATTCATTTTCTTCTAGGATGGATTTTTCAATTTTATTTTTTTATTTTTATTTTTATTTTTATAAAGTATCATCGTACATTGAGGTTGCTTCCCTCCAGAAGGTGTTTTAGAAAAAATTATTCATCTCTATTCAGTTTCTACACATACTTAGATTTAAGAAAATAGTTTGGTATATTGCTCAGAGGAACATGCCATAAGAGGTCGGTGCTGCTGAGATTTGAGCAAAACAATATTTCTTTAAACATTATAATAGAAAAATTTTTAATTTGTGGAATACATTTCATGTAGCTTAGAATGGCCGGTAGTGTTTGAATTGTGAAGAGCTCTATTGATATTAATTAGTCCAAACATAGGTTAACGGCAAAAGATCCGCTGCGATTATGAAAGTAACAATCTGATTAGCCAATAAATACTCCATATGAGTGTATCGCACTCCTCAAAGTCGACCTTAATAATCAGACTCCATCCAAAATTTTATTGAACTTCATAATTTTGGAGTGCTTTTTTTGGCTTTGCGGTCCACATACCACCACATTAACGTCACTTTGAAGGTTGGCTTGGTAGTTAGCACAGTAGATTCCAAAATCTTTTCAAAAGGGATTTTCTTCTTCTTTACATAGAAGTTAAGTTGTAATAATTCCTATGAAAAATGAGGATGATGAATATGGTCCTGTACTGAAAAAGACTCCACAGTTAGTGTAAAAGGCTGAATCATTTTTTTAATCAAACTTTATCTGCTCGATTAAATATCATTTCAGATCACTTGATCATCTGATTTTTTTACTTACAAATAAATTAATAAGGTTTCGAAAAAATAAATAATTTTGTCTAGAGAGTTAACTAAGATCTTCTTATTTAAATAGAAAATTAGTGTTTCATGGAACATAGGTTTTTTTTCTTGCTCCCTATTAAATATCTCAAACAAAAGAGCCAAGATTAATTGATCATTAGACAGTAAACTCTAATAAATGTGCATATAACGTAACATTTATGCATAAACACAAGAAGCACGGTGTCAGCCCTTTTATGGCTGAAATGGCGATGGCATGGGCTACGCCTTTTATTTCCCATCAAATTTTAATTTTGATTTTAGAATTATCCTTCAAATTTCTACTCTTAAGTACACTTTCTCAATTAGCTATCCATAATTAACTTTTGAACAATATAAATGACCCTTGCCTCTTGACAGAACCAAGCTCAGCATTCAGTATCCGAGACATGGTCCGATGAATTTGGATTTGTATATTGTACAGTCCATGTAGTCTGCTGTCAGTATTGGTTCGTGCGATTATATCAGTATGATGTTGTTTGAGCTGTTTATTGACACTGGACTATAGTTATTGAGCTTGATACATCTTTATGACTTGCTAGTACATTAATGTTACTTATTTCAGGTTTTATCAGTTTGAATGTGTACTTAAATCTCTTTTATTTATTTATTTATTATTATTATTATTATTATGATGACTCGGGTACTTGAATTTCGTCCAACTAATCCTGATGAGTGGTTGCCTTCCTTCTTAGTTCGCCACTTGGGTAAATCCGGATGCGATTCAGTTTATATACACTTGGGCCTGACATTTGGAATATGGTTCTCTTTTTTGTGGACCTCCCTTTGCAACATACGGACAAGGCCTCTGGAAGGACGACATAGTGCACCATAACTTTGTCTCCATAGAACCACAGGACATTTGCCTTCCAACATAAATCTCTTGTTTCTAGGGGATCTGGTTTTGCCAAATGTTGTCATGATTTGGCCATCATGACACTTCTCATTTGCAAGTTGTGGTGTGGATCCATAAATGTATACTAACAGGAAGAAATTAATGCATGTTACATGATTTTTAATAGGAAATCTGTGGAACTTCTTTAAATTGATTCTGTTTTGGGAGATGAAATTCCGGTTATCCGAAGGTTCACTGGAGGAGGTACTGTTATTGTTGATGAGGAGACAATATTTGTTACATTTGTATGCAATAAGGATGCAGTTCCTGGTTTACAATCATATCCTCGACCTATCATGTCATGAAGCAGCCTAGTGGATCAAAAAGTACTTCACGGAATTGGGGAATTTAACCGTCACGAGAATGCTGTGTGTGGCAACATGTAGCCTCAATGATTTCTCTAATATTCTAGTTTGAATTATACCTATTTGCACAATTGTTGTTGACAATCATGATTGACAACATTGATATTGTCAAAATCTAGATCATTGATTTAAAAAATAATTTTTAAAATGGATGAATATAATGTTGTCAAGTGTGAGTTATTAACCAAGATTGTAAAAAAAATTGTATTATTATTTTTTAAATTGTAGCCTCGAAATGCATGTTGCATTAGGTAAAAAGTCTATTATTTTTATTTTTCCGTCTTCGAGGTTATAATGGTCATTTTGATCAATTTGGCCATTTCAATAAATAAACTACATTTTAATTGCATGAAAGGTTTATAACCTTTACATATTTTCACATTTATGTCTCGAACTTTTTTCATGTCATTCTTATGCTCAAACTAATATAAATTGTTTGTGATTGTAATTTCTCTCCAAAAATTTTTTTAAGATAAAGTAAAAAAGACTCATTTATCCATTGTATTTTTAAATAAGCAAAACAAATAATAATGTGAAAGTACGATTAAATATTTGGCCTTCATTTTAAAGCACGTTAACAATATTTTTGGATGAAAATCTTGATTAAGGACAAGATTACTCAAGATTTGTTTTATCAATGAAATATTAAAAATAAAAACGTGATGAAGAAAAAAGTTACGGATATGAGCGTGAGAATGAATAAATGTTAATGACTATTAATATAATCAAAACATGATGTATTAATTAAAATAAGAAGTGTGATTATAAACATCCTTCTTTGCAATGGTTATCAAAATTAGACACATTTCAATTTACAAATCAATGTCACATCCAAGCTTGAGCAATCGTAGGAAGGAAATCATTTCACGTTATTGGAATCGACCTCGATACCAATCAGAATTAATTGATCCATAATTAAGCAACCATTGTTCTTCACGAAGATTTGTCGATTCTGGATTACAATTAGGTATGTGATTCCAATTTTGAAATTCTATGACAGCGTCTGTATTCATCGTGTGGGTTCGAAATCAACCAGTTGCTTATGTGACTCAGCTACATTATGATTGTGGACGTGAAATCATTACGTTATGGACAATTGCTTATGTGACCGATCTTGATATGTTGCATGAATTTCAATGTGTGACCGTCATATGTGACTGGGATTGATTGCATGTGGTAGTGTTCTACGTATGATACTAAATTTTTTGTATGTGACTTTGAGTTGTATATGAAATCATAGTTTTCGTCAGAGCCAAGAACTATATAAATGTGACCATAACAGATACCTTAAACTGATATGTGACTGATTTTCTCATCTAAAGCTAACAGTTTTCCTTTGGAATTTTGTAGAAATGGGATATGTGCACGTTTGCTTGTTATACGAGTCACAGTTAGCACTGGTGATGGTTAATTATAATTGTTGTTATATAAAGCTTGTGGAAACAGCAGTGAAAGAGTTCAGTCTAGATCCTACTAAGGTAGCTGGACTTACACACTGAATGTTGATCTGCCTTCAGTAAGAATAAGTAGTGACAGTAATTTTCAGACATACGTGACTCTAAAAACTGTAGAGTGTGACCTGTCAAAGTACTCCATAAAAATTGAGGTGACATCTACAGAAATAGGACATGAATCGCCCAATTCTATGTTGGCCAATCCAAATGCACTTAGTGTACAATCTAGCATAGGGGTGTATCCGTTGCAGAATATAACAACCGATATATGTGATGTAGTTGTAGAAACATCCCATCGCACGGATGAAAATTTGGTCACAATTGTTTCCATTCCTGATGCTATGTGTATAGAAGAAGGCAGTGTGTTTCACAATAAGGATGTTTTGAAATTGAGCATGTCTTTCTTTACCATACAAAATATGTTTGAATACGTGGTAGTTCGATCAGATAAGAAGGAGTATCTAATCAAGTGCTCACATGATGACTGCAGCTAGATATATAGGTCTTCAAGGTTGGGAAAAATAGAGATTTTCAAGATTCGAAAGCTAACTAATGGTCACACATGTGCTTCAAACATAGTTTTAGGACCTCATAGGCAAGTCTCAATGTCTGTGGTGTCCTCATGCATCAAGTATAAGTATACATTATCGCGTACTGTATACACTCCGAACGATATATGTAACAACATATTGCATACATATGGGGTCACAGTGAAACCGGGAAAGAACTTTGAAACTAATCAGGGGCATCCAACGGAGTCATATCAGCTAGTGATGCAATGGGGCGGGCCCAAACATAACCCCCCCACGTACGGGACGGAGTCATGCCCATTTACTGCCCCCCTTTTTTCCCTCCCTTCCTCAAATTCACAATTCGAAAAAGCTAACATCCAAATTAAGTACTCGAAACAAACAATATCCAAAAATAAACAATTACAAATACCATTACATTGTAAGTAAATTTCACTTCTTTATCCAAAAATAAATTTGATATTTTTCCATCTTTATAACTTCATTCATCGGCACGTTCAGAGATTGTAGAAGATGGATCCTGAAAAATGAAAGAAATATTATACTCAATATCATCATAATAACTATGATTAAAATTTAAATTATGTAATAAATAAAATTGTCTTCTCATCAACATCATTATCATTCATCTTGGAGCAACTTCCAAAATATGCAGACGGCGCATAATTCACTATCAATAAAATAAAATAATTAGTAATAAGAAAATTAATAAAAGAAACAATATAAAAAGCAAATGTTTATAAACATCGTAACGTAAATATCGGCCCATGACCAATTTTGAGCACACATTAAAGCCTCCAAAGTTTTG